AAGACAAAAACAAAACAGAAACAAATGACAATAGATCACATTTACTGACCACTAATATATATGCCAGATCCGTTATTCTATCCTCACAACAACAAAATGGGCATTTTTGCTCTCATTTTATCAAGAAACTGAGGCTCAGTGAGATTATCTAGCCCAAAGTCACGCATCTCACCAGAGAAGGAGCTGAGGTTGGAACGCAGAGCCGTCTACTAGCTTCCGGGTTAGACGCGCGTTCCTGCCGGTTTTCAGAAGCTTGTTGGATGCATCCGGGGTGAAGGGTCAGTTCAGGCCCTGCTCCCAGGTGCCTAGTGGTCAGGCGGGTCTCCTCACCTCCCCGCAGGGCTACCAGATCCCCAAGGGCTGGAGCGTGATGTATAGCATCCGAGACACGCACGAGACGGCCGCGGTGTACCGCAGCCCTCCCGAGGGCTTCGATCCGGAGCGCTTTGGCGCGGCGGGCGAGGATGGGCGGGGCGCCTCCAGCCGCTTCCATTACATCCCGTTCGGAGGCGGTGCGCGCAGCTGTCTCGGCCAGGAGCTGGCGCAGGCGGTGCTCCAACTGCTCGCCGTGGAGCTGGTGCGCACGGCGCGCTGGGAACTGGCCACGCCTGCCTTCCCCGCCATGCAGACGGTGCCCATCGTGCACCCGGTGGACGGGCTGCGGCTCTTTTTCCACCCGCTCGCGCCTTCGGCAGCGCGAGATGAGCTACGCCTCTGACTGGCTGCGCGGCGGGACAGGACTTGGCCAGTGGCAGCGGCGCCCTCGCAGCGCCGCCCATCTGCCGTTCCCCAGTGCCAGGTCGGGCACTCGTTCAACAAACGGTCACCGAATGAGGCTCTGTGCTGGACTCCGAGGGAGGGGAAGCACGAGCCACCGGCCGGAGAAGCGCCCAGGCTGGTGAAAAGGTGCCTCCTGCGCGCTCCGCGCCCTGGGGAAGGAAAGTCATGCCTCTTAAGCCCTTCCCAGGATCTCGAAGCGGGGATAGAGGGAACAGATCTCCACTAGGAGCTAAGGGGCCTCGCCTTCCCCCGCCAAACGCGGGAGGGTGCATGGGACATGGGGCCGCGGAGAGGACTGCGCCTCATGGACCGTGCCAGAGAATCAGCGCACTCGGCCTGCAGCGCTTGCGAGGAAGCAGGGACGCCCAGAGCGCATCCCTGGCCTGGCTTTGGGCCATAAGAAGACACACCGAGAAGGTCCCCAACGGAAGGCCCTCAGGCTGTTGGCCTCCGCTTTGTGCGCCATGGCCACTCTGCCGGTCTTGGCGGAAACTCAGAACTGTGGGCGCTTCCAGGGCTCTAAACGGCTCAACATCACCGGATTCTGCTGGAGACTTCATAAAAGAAAAATTCATACTTCAAGTACGCATTTAATCTTCCCATTTATACAGGGGAGAATAGGCCCATGGAGATGTCTCCAAGGCTGGATTCTTTTCATGGGAGGTTGAGACATAATCACAGAGGTTTGGGATATTTGTACCCAAAACAACAAGGCCAAGAAATAAAGTTTCCTGGCAGCAGTTGAGCCAGGAGACTAGGGCTTAGCTGGGCAGCTGCTCCCTGTTGCAAAGGCATGGGGTGGAGTGTGGGGGACACGTGGGAAAGACCCCCCTGAAGGACCCACCCCAGGGTATACCCAGAGAGGGGCAGCTGAGGCCCAGGCTGCCAAAACTTCCTTCCTGAATTACCTTTGTGATAGCTGGCTGCAGAGGCCTTCTGGTTTGCTACTTCAACTTCCTCTGTTAGAGGAGAAACTGGGGAAAGACTCTCCTGAGGAGCCAGCACTGGGCTCCTGGACTGCTCCGCCAGTGTTCTCCACCCCATCACTTATCCCCCTGCTCCAGCCTCTGGGCCTGTGGCCACCATGTAGGTCTCAGCCCTTTCGTCTTTTTGTAGTGACGCCCAGGTTGTCTTAAGTACTGTCTCTGGACTTTTCCAACACAGAGGTTCCACCACTGTTTAAATCAAAGACAAGAGCCTCCAGTGTCATCATTCCCAAGAGCCCACTTCATCTGCCACCCATCTTCAGACAGGCAGAGGCAGCTGGACCTGACGGGTGAGCCAGGAAAGTGCTACCCAGGCCCGAGCTGACCCCTTAGTGAACCAGAAGGAAGCTAGTGCCCTCCTGACCTTACGCTTAAGGTGGATCCTGGGGCCAGAAGGAAAGGGGGAAGCAGCAGGCACAGGCAGGGTCGGTGGTTCAAGAGCGCAGCGGGCCCTTCCTAACTAGGCTGACACCGCCATAACCCTCATCCAGGGCAATTCATCACCGGCTGCTGACCGCAGGCCCAGCGCCAGGCCATGGGCTTGAGAGAGGCTGGAGCCCGCAAAAGTGGTAGAGCTGGGACCTGCCCTCAGGGCGCTCCTGAGGCTGCAGAGACAACAGCCTGGCCTGCCTGAGAAGCTCCACCAAGGTGAGGTGGCAGGAGGACCAGGGCTTGGGATAGATTCTGATTTGGGGAGAGAAGAGAAATAGGGGGAGAGGGCTCTCAAAAGCCCCGACAGTGTAGCTGGTTCCAAGAGACCTGGTTTACCTGCTCTGGAATCTGTCCCAACTATAAGCCCCAGTTGGAGGGGCAGCTCCAATTATACTCTAATTTCCTGTGCATATGTCATTTTCAGTAGTTTCAAGGACTATCTGAGCTCCTGTTTTAGTAGCTCCAGACTCTCTGAGGAAGGAGCAGACGTGGTCCTTGCCCTCCTGGACTCCACATGCTCACGAAGGAAGGACGTAGACAATGAATAAACTAGCAAACAGAAGAGTAAGAACATGTCGGATGGTGCTAAGTGCTGTAGAGAAAATAAAACAGGCCTGAGGGCTGAACTCCGGGCGGTGGGCGGAAGACTTCTCTGAGGAGGTGACAACTGATTTTGGAAGGAACCAGCCAGTGGTGACCTGGGAGAGGGGTGCCCCAAGCAGAGGGAACAGCAGTTATAGAACCCCAAGACAGGAATGAGTGCTCAAGAGATGGGAAGACGGGGTTGGCAGGAGAAAAGCAGAGGAGAGGTGCCCTAGGTTACCTGACTCCAGTCTGCCTCTGGGTCCCCACTCCCCTCCCCCAGAAAAAAACCACTCCCCCTCCTCAACTCTTAGCAACAGAGAGGCTGTTTTGTAAACATCTTGGAAACATTTTGTTTTCCAATGAACCAACTCTCCTCCCGGTCCACCACTACCCAAAAAAGCTTGGCGAGGTTTTCAGGTCAAAGTTCTTATTGGGCTGGTAATTTATTGACCTCTTCCCCCTTCAAGATGTTCTTTAATGATCTTCACTCTCCCAGTTAATCCTTTCCTGCCGGACGTCCCCCACCCCCGGACACCCCCCGCGGGTCTCGATGGGCAGATAGATTAAAACATTTCTCCCCCGTGGCAATTTCCAGAGCGCAGGCCCCGCTCATCTTGTGACCCAGGGCGCGCTGAACTTGGCGAGGTGGCCCTGCAGAGTTCACTCGGATGTCACGGTCCTGCCTGCAGGGGTCAGAGGCGGGTCAGGCCCGAGGACTGGGAATGGGCCCCAGGTCACGCCCCCGCTCACCAGCTTTGCTCACCCGCCCCAGGCACTGTCCAGAAAGGGGCGGGCCCCGGGTTTCTGAGAATTACCTCTAGCGCATCTTGCCCCTGTGCCTGCTGGTGCCCAGAAGTTGGCTGGCACCGTTCACAGTCGCCAGATCGTTAGAAGAAATGACAGTGGGAGAGACCCTTCCCTAGAGCCTCTGACAAGCCAAGTAGGGTTATGGGAACCTTTGGCTCTCCGAAACATGCCCTGTGGCGACCTGGGCTTGGAGCGTTGCAGGGACTGTGTGGTCCCTACGACTCTGCAGACATTTCCCGATCCCGCCGGCTTTGGGGACCATCGCGGGAGGGCCACGTATTTAACAGCTCTCAAGATCAAAGAGTTTTCTGTCTCCAAGGGACGCTTTCCAAGGCGTGCGGCGTGCTCCTGCGACAGCCGGTGTTCAGTTTTAAACAAACGTACATCATTCTGTTTAGTTTTCGGCGCCTCTGGTGCGTTCCGCACTCAAACTAAGGGAGCGCTGACTGGTTCGAGACGGTGTGGCTCGGGTGAGCTCCCCGCGGCGTTGGCGATCCAGGCATTGGCTGCATTAGCAGCGGATTGTAGTTGGGCAAAGGACAGAAGACCCGCTTCCCAGTACGGATTCCCCCAACACTCCCATTAGCGGCCGGCAGAGGCCTGGGTTTAGGATCCAGCACCCCTCTCACCTGGCTGGCTTTACGCTGGGTGGGAGCTGGGACAGCGAAGGAAGGCTCCAGTGCCCCCGTCCAGGTCCTCCTGGTAATGTAGCCTAGCGTGCCTGGAGCTGGGAAGAGTATTTGCAACCACAAGCCCCTTTTGGAAACTCACAACTACGTCGAGGTGTATACGGGGGGGGGGGGATGAGGTGTGTACAGGGCGGGAATGATCGCCTCCATATTAAGGGGTGGAAACAGGCGCAAGGATGTGTGGTGACTTGACCAAGGTCAGGCAAGTAGAGATGGAGCTGGGCCTCGGAGCCCCGATTCCCGGACTTTCCTTCTTCTCTGTCTCCATATCCTGCTAGGACTAAGGACTGGCTTCCCCTCTGCCTAGCTGAGGCCGCAAGCCCCAGGGCCCTCGGATTGCCGCCTGCTGTGGCCTGATCGCAGAGCGCTGGTTGCCGAGCCGGGGATGAATTGCCCCTGCGGTCCCCTACTGAGGCGTCAGGGTCGGGGCTCAGACTTGTGCAGGGTTGCACTGGAGTCCCGAGGGACATGAAGGCTCTCGTACCCTTAAGTAGGTGCTTCCAAGACTTCATGAGTGCAGGCCTCCTTGAGGGGGTTGGGGAGCTGGGATCCCGCAGGTCATGCCTAACTCCCCGCAGCTCTCCCTCGGGTCCTGGCCCCGGGCTCTTCTGCGGGATCTTAGGAAGAGTCGGGAGGCCTGCCTTTTGCTCTGCGTTCTGGACCTCAGTTTCCCGACCAGTGGGACGAGGCAGCTGGACAATCCCTGAACACACTTCCCTTTGCTTCCCTAGCAGGTGGAAGGGAGCCCATGCGGCGCCTGTAAACGGAAAACCAGTGAAGGCAGCTCTGGGCTGCGACCGCCCGTCGGACCCGGCGGGAGGGATTCCAAAGGGACCACCAGCAAGCCCAGAGCTCAGAGTTCCCGCTGCTTGGAGCCGGGGTCGGCCCCTGGCGCCATCTCGGAGCTCCGCACACCTTGTATGGGGGAGGCAGGCTGCTCCTAGCCCCGCACCCCAGGAGGCGCGCTCCGAGGGAAGCCGCCAACGCGCCGCCTCTGCCTCGGCGCGGAACAAACGGTTAAAGATTTTGGGCAGCGCCTCGCGGGAGGGAGGAGCCAGGGGCCCAATCCGCAATTAAAGATGAACTTTGGGTGAACTAATTTGACCAAGGTAACGTGGGCAGCAACCTGGGTCGCCTATAAAGCGGGCGCGCGGCGGGGTTCGGAGGGCTGGCGGCGGCGGCAGGTGGCGCGGGAGGCCACGGCGCGCCATGGGGCTCCTGGCACTGCTGGCCAGTGCGCTCTGCACCTTCGTGCTGCCGCTGCTGCTCTTCCTGGCCGCGATCAAGCTCTGGGACCTGTACTGCGTGAGCAGCCGCGACCGCAGCTGCGCCCTCCCTTTGCCCCCTGGAACTATGGGCTTCCCCTTCTTTGGGGAAACATTGCAGATGGTGCTACAGGTAAGGGAGCTTGGGGCGGGACAAGACTATTCTCCCGAGCCCGACTCGGCTCCGGGCTTCCACTGAAGCCTGAGTAGGCGCCCCCGGGAGGGAGGTGGGGAGGGAGGTGACTATGGTTAGGATCAGGACTAGTCGGAGGCGCAGCGCTCCCCGGCGCCCCCTCACGCCCGCCTCTCTCCTCCGCTTTCCTCTCACAGCGAAGGAAGTTCCTGCAGATGAAGCGCAGGAAATACGGCTTCATCTACAAGACGCATCTGTTCGGACGGCCCACAGTGCGGGTGATGGGCGCTGACAACGTGCGGCGCATCTTGCTCGGGGAGCACCGGCTGGTGTCGGTCCACTGGCCTGCGTCGGTGCGCACCATCCTGGGCTCCGGCTGCCTTTCCAACCTGCACGACTCCTCGCACAAGGAGCGCAAGAAGGTGAGGGCGGGGGTGCAGGCGCCTGGACAGGAAGGGGGACCCCATTCGCTGGAGGGGTTCAGGCAGATAGATGCTGGGCGAGGGCTGGCTGCAAGAGGCGTCGCCTAGGACCCTCTCAAGCGCAGTTTAGCTTTCTCAGTTTGGAAGTGCCTTGGGTCTGGCGGGATTGGGGGGTGTGGAAGGGGACCCCGGAAGGCGAAAGGGGCAGATGGGGCCCAGTTTTAAACCTCTCCCCTCCTCGGGGCTCAGGTGATTATGCGGGCCTTCAGCCGAGAGGCGCTACAATGCTACGTGCCGGTGATCGCGGAGGAAGTAGGCAATAGCCTGGAGCAATGGCTGAGCTGTGGCGAGCGCGGCCTCCTGGTCTACCCCCAGGTGAAGCGCCTCATGTTCCGCATCGCCATGCGCATCTTGCTGGGCTGCGAGTCCCGGCTGGCGAGCGGCGGGGACGCTGAGCAGCAGCTGGTGGAGGCCTTCGAGGAAATGACCCGCAATCTTTTCTCGTTGCCCATCGACGTGCCCTTCAGCGGGCTGTACCGGGTAAGGGCAGTATGCAGGGTGCAGAGCTAGGGGACTGGGGACACGGGTGATTGGGGTCTGCTTACTGCCATGGGCTCTCTGCGCTCAGGGCGTGAAGGCGCGGAACCTCATCCACGCACGCATCGAGGAGAACATTCGCGCTAAGATCCGCGGGCTGCGGGCGGCGGAGGCGGGCGGGGGCTGCAAAGATGCCCTGCAGCTTTTGATCGAGCACTCGTGGGAGAGGGGAGAGAGGCTGGACATGCAGGTGAGTGAGGAAAGGCACTGCGGAGTTTGTATCCGCTGGCTTTCCAACCGCGGTTCCCGGTGTCCCCAAAGCGCCCTCCTGGGGCGCAGCTTCCCAGAGTGGGCAGCCCGCCCAGACCCCAGCGATGGGACCCCGAAGGTTGAGACACCGGATCCGGAGAGCTATGGCAGAGGCTGCAGCGAGCAGGGAGAGTACCCTAGCCCTTTCAGATTTTAAAGGGAAAGTTGGAATTTGCAAAATGTAAATAAAGAATCTTGGGCGATTTAAATACAACCAAGGCTTTAACTCAGAGTTCCTGGTAGAGTGGGATCTTACTGGCCTTCCTGCTCTAGCTGAACTAAAGAGATTTTGCATTTTGTTTACAAATGTTGCTTTCCTTGACTTTCTGTCAGCAAACTTTTAGCCCTTCTCATCTTGCCTCCAGAAGTCTCAGTTCGGTTCTGAGTAATCACTCTAAAACTGCACAGAGACTTGTAAAATCGCTCTCTTATTCCGTTCTCAGGCACTAAAGCAATCGTCAACCGAACTCCTCTTTGGAGGACACGAAACCACTGCCAGTGCAGCCACCTCTCTGATCACTTACCTGGGGCTCTACCCGCATGTTCTCCAGAAAGTTCGAGAAGAGCTGAAGAGTAAGGTAGGGGGAATCTGGGGGTAACTTGTTAGCTTAAGAAACTCATCTGCTCCCTAGCTAACTTCCCAATAAGTAAGTGTGCTGCCTCCAGGGAGTAATTTCAAAGTGAAGGGCCAAGGGGTGGGTGGGCCAGTGGGGAAAGAGAATTAGCCCTGTGAATAGAAAGGAGGGAATCTTGAGCTGTGATCCCACGCCGGCAGGCAGGGTTTGACCTTGTATTCCTACCCCTCCAACACTTTTTGCAGAACCTTGGATATTTTCAGATAGGTTCCACTTTCTTGGATTTGTGTGTTCAAGGGCATGAACAGGGGACTCCTAGGGGGTTGGTGGTGATGGGAGGGAGAAAGCTTGGTGGTTCTAAGTGGTGAGCAGCATTCACTTGGAATTGTAAATGGATAGTGGATTTGCGCCAGGGGGTGGAGGCAAATGGTCACTAGCTGCTCACTGTTTCCCCCTCACACTCTCCCATCATGGGGCCCTTTGGGTTTAGCCGCCACTTAAACCCTGTTTACGTCTGCTGGGCTGATTTTATTGGAGCACAAAATAACCGTTCACCTCTCTATGACTGTTTTGATAGGGTTTACTTTGCAAGAGCAATCAAGACAACAAGTTGGACATGGAAATTTTGGAACAGCTTAAATACATTGGGTGTGTTATTAAAGAGACCCTTCGACTGAATCCCCCAGTTCCAGGAGGGTTTCGAGTTGCCCTTAAGACTTTTGAATTAAATGTAAGTTAAAAGTTCTCCCCTCCCCTTTTGTTGTGGTTTTAAATCTCCCCTTGCTTCCCTGTGCATTGGCTTAAATTTCTTATCCTGCCCCATGTGCACACTGAATGTCTGTCTGTCTGTCTCTCGCCACTACCACCCCTCCCCTTTCTTTCAACTCATAACCCCTTCAAGGATATCAGTGAGAGCTTTTTGTTGTCGAAAGTCAAATTCCAGTTTGTCAGCCGTTGGGACCTCATAATCTTTTGCAGGGATACCAGATTCCCAAGGGCTGGAATGTTATCTACAGTATCTGTGATACTCACGATGTGGCAGATATCTTCACCAACAAGGAGGCATTTAATCCTGACCGATTTATGCTGCCTCACCCAGAGGATGCTTCCAGGTTCAGCTTCATTCCATTTGGAGGAGGCCTTAGGAGCTGTGTAGGGAAAGAGTTTGCAAAAATTCTTCTCAAAATATTTACAGTGGAGCTGGCCAGGCATTGTGACTGGCGCCTTCTAAATGGACCTCCTACAATGAAAACCAGTCCCACCGTGTACCCTGTGGACGATCTCCCGGCAAGGTTCACCCGTTTCCAGGGGGAAATCTGATGGGTGTGAATGCCCAGACCTCAGGCTTATTTGAAGTGTACACATGAGTTTTTACATAGTGTCCTGTTGATTTTATTATATTTAATTGCAAAATATATATTATAATATTTATATGTCTCTACTACAGTACCACAGTCTTTAAATATTAAAATAATGAATTTGGATAGTTTCCAAATAAATTAAAATTTGAAGGTGCTTGTCTTGCATTTAAGATTCCTGTGGGGGAAAACTCACCGGTTTTGTATTTGTATATTTAACTAGATTTGTAAATGTCTACATGCGTGGTTTTGTCATCTGTGCATATCTATTTTCTATGAGGAAGAAACTTTAGCTGTTTTTTCTCTTAACAATTAGAAATATATATTATATGTGTGTGTGTGTGAGTTACTCCAAAGGTAACTTTGTAAATTTTTCTATGGTACTTTAGATACCCTATTTGGAAACTTTATCCAAGTTAATTTTAGATTTTTTTTTGTTTGCTTTACGTTAGAGAAAGATGAATTTGAAAAGATAACCCTTTGAGAACTATCATGTTCTGATCTAACACTTTTAGTCATACACTTATTATGTTTAATAAACATAATGAATCTGTGTTGTTGCATAGTGCCAGAACTGTTTTCTGAAGTTAAAGTTTTAGGTGAGACAAAGCCAGTCACTCTGATCATGAACAATTATTGACTAAAACGAGACCAAAAAATCTCTCATTGGTTTCCTTGACTCAGAAGTGGCAGATGAAAACAGTATTGGAAAAGGACAGTCGCTGGTTTAGATAAGCTAGTCCAGGTTTTCTTCATTGAAAATAAGGCAGGAAGAGTAGATTTAGCAAACTGACAGATAAAGTTTTTATCTATGCCAGGCAATAGGGTGTGAGCCTGACATGACTGATAAAATGGCCCAGTCGTGACCCTGTGAACCTTGGCTAACCTCCGTGAAAGCGCAGTTTTGTCCCATTTCTGACCCTGGCATAGCCGTGTTCTGAACCGAAGGCCAGACTCTCAATCCAGAAAGGTTAGCCCCGGTGACTTGCTGATGCAAGCACATTTTCAGTTTTGAAATGGCACAATCTGCTCACTGAACCTCTGATGGCTTGTAGGTTTTGGACTTTAAAATTTTCATTACAATTTTAGAATTTGGCAATGCTGCAGCAACTGGGTGGTCTAAATAGGTGTTTGAAAAGGGTTCTGTCTACAATTAGAGTTACACGTTCTACCTGACTTTAGTTTTTTAGGGAGAAGTTGGATTGTACTTATTGTTGGAATCTTCTGATTTTTAAGAGGTGTTTACATAATAACTTATAATGCCTTTTAATAACCTAATAATGCCTTTTTTTTAAAAAAAACGAGAAATTACAGACATATTTAGTTCCAGCCAAAGCTTTAGTGTACTGTGGTGTGCAAAGATGACCTCTCCCCCCATAGCTTTCTCCCTGGATCGTTCCAGCTAGGAGCACATTAGCCTGAGGACATTATTTCAGATAATTTATACAAAGCATTTTTTGAAGGTTTCAATACTTTTCATTTTGCCAGAGGATGGTTAGCGTTTCAAAACACCGTCTTTGGTGACTCCGTGACCGCGTGTCTCTATGAGTATAGAGCAGAAAGAAATTTGAACCATTTTAGCATATAATTCAATTCTTTAAATCCACCTTTATTTTTTATCTGGAGAGCTTTGAGGAAAGTGCTTCTGGCTTGTATTTCCCGGGGCTATGTTTAGCCCAATTATACTCATCGATTACAGAGTAGTGCAGAATTTTAAAAACACAATCTTTGATAATGCGCCTAGTGCTGAGTGAAGGCAGTTTAGAAGCATGTGAGGCAGAATTGATGTCTGTGGGCTGCCGTTAAACGGGCCTGGGTCATGTCTACCTGGGACAAGCATGTTTTTGGCACAGGCACTTCTGGGTCAGTGTCCACACATCACCCAGTGGAGAAGTGTTTCAGGAGGAGGTCATTGTTCTAGATTTAGACTTGGCCAGAGTTGAGCAAGGAGAGGAGACCACTGTGAGAAATGACTCTTTGGGGCTCCCAGGGGCATGGCATACTGATGGAAGGGTGCTGTGCTCTCCAGGGCTTTGGGTGGACCTGCCAAGCTGGTCAAGTTGGTGCCCTCTGCCTCCCCTTCCACACGTGCCCTTTGTCCTGGCCACCTCCCATCCCCTCTTCTCTTCAGTCAGGGGTGTGGTGCCACCAATGACAGACCATTGTCAGGACTGGCATGGGAATGCCTCCAGCTGGGTCTATAATGCCTGAGCATTCAGAGAGATGGGAACCTTCAACCAGCTCAGCCCTGAGAGGCCCAGAGAGGGACTGTGATGTGCCTGGGGCCACCCGGGGAGAGGCAGAACCAGGAAAGGCCTCCTGCTGCCTTTTTGTCCTTCTTCCTTTTTTTTTTTAACAGCTAATAACACCTGCCTGATTCCTCTCCAACTTTCTGTTGCTAGACAACCAGACCAAGGGGCCTCCACCTTCTAACTTCCTTTTATGTCCCCTGCCACCCCTCCCCTGCCCTGTGACAATCCAGATCAATTCTCTTGCAGGCCACCAGAGGCAACTGGTGAAATGGGAGTAGTGACAGGAAGTGGCTGCTCCCCCAGACCCCTCCTCTCCTGAGAGGTTTCAGGGTGCTTTTCGTACCATGCCACCCCCCAGAGGTCCACAAGGGGGCGGGCTTCTCCCTTCTATGCCAAGCTCAGGGCCCAGGGGTTTTCCCCACTGGTGTCCGTGAAATCCAGTGTCCACAGACTCTGGCCTAGGGCCTGCTTTTACCCCAGACGGTGAGAGGCCACAGGCCACCCAGGGCTTAGCAAGTACTCAACCTTAGGCCTGGTTATGGCTGCCTGTCCCCTCTGGAAGAGTCACCCTGGGCTGGGTTGGTCTGGATCATCATTCAGTTCCTGAAGTAGCCACCATCCTGCTGTGATCCCTGAGGTCAGCTGGCTTGGGTTTCCAGCACTGCCCACAAACTGCCCATATCTGACCTAGGTTGTTCTCACTATCCCTGGAAGGTGGCTCTCAGCTTTGAGGGAGGAGGGAGCACGTTTTTTGAAGGACATGGGCATACGAAGTCAGTGTTCAGATGACCTTAACCAGGTCCAGGAGCCAGCCCACAAAAGCACTGTGTGAGGAACTAGGGATGTTTAAAGAGATTGTGGTGGCCCCGCCTTCAAAGAGTTAAAGGACCGTTGCAGAAAATACAGGTTCAGACCTGTTGTGAAGGACAGAGCATGCACTTAGGAAGGTAAGTGAAAAGGAAGGAGATGTTAGCATAATATAAGGAAAACATTTTGAGACAACTAGAACTCTTTGATGATGACACAGGCTACCTTGTGAGAGAGCAAGCGCCCTGTCAATGGAGGCGTCCAAACAGGAGTTGGATAACTAAGCTGCCATGAGGATTCTGACGTGAAGGGAGACGCTGGGTTAAATGACCCCCAAGTTCCCTTCCAAAATTAAAGAGTTGTGATTCTCTGAGATTTGATTCAGTTCAGTTCCTCAGATACCTGCTTTACTTTGAAGGCAGATTGACTCCAATCTCAGGAGACAAGTCGTCCACACATCCCCTGCCAGAGGCATTCAGCCGACCGTGGTGATCATTCTGCCCGACCTCCCAGCCAGATGGGAGGTGGGAGCCCAGGAGGCCTGAGTTGTGACCTCACAGAGATGCTGAGTCCCCTGTGTTGATTGCTGGGAACCTTTCTCCTGCCCTGTGACCTGGTGCTTCCAGCTCCAGTTCCTGTGTCTGCCCCAGCACTCGCTAGGCCTCTCCCAGCTGTGCCATGCTGACAATCCACTTGCCCTAGCTTCTGGGTAAGGCCCTGCATCTTTCCCTAGCGTTCCCTGGCCTCCACGATGCCATGCGTTGACACTGGACTCTGCCCAACTGTCCTTTCTCTCCGCCTCCTGAAAAGCTACCAGAAGGCAGGAACTGTGTCTCTTCATTCGAATCTTGTAAATTTAGCCCATTCTCGCGCACCTCCCTGCCCTCCCCAGAACACACTCACACATAGTAGGTGTTCTTTGGGAGACAAAGCTTCTTGGGGCCAACTGACACCGTTTACCTATGTCTCTCCAGCTTCACAGTACCATGTTTTTCTTTGAAAAGTGAAACTTTCATCCTTGGAAAATCTCAGCGGCCGCAAGCTTACACGGCTGTGGTTTAACAGCATGTCACATTCCTGAAACCGATGCTGCATGGGTATTTGGCCAAACAAGCTTTCCTTCGTTTGAAGTAGAGTCAACTCGAGTTAGAACCCTGGGCCAGGGTGGAAACTTAGCCCTGGATTACGTGGTGGGTTTTCTGGGTGAGAGTTATCATGTTGCAATATTCCTAAGCATGCATCTGCAGCACAGAAGCCGACCTGCAACGTACAACTTCTCACCACTGCCAAACTCCTCCCTGGTCCATCAGGGGTTAGAATCTACTCACTCACTTCCGACCAGAGATACTTTAAGATTTTTATCTGAAGTCACTAATGGCTTCACTTAACTCAAATGCATTGTGAAAAGAGGACAAGGTACTTTGCTTAAAATAGGTATTTGACAAAACGCTTTGATTAAGTACAGTTATACCATCCAGTGTAACAGTGATTTATTTAATGATGCAGGAGGGGATTTGGTATTCTGAAATGGAAAGTTCAGCTCATTTAATGTCAGTTAGTCACAGACTTTTAGAGCTGGAAGGGAGATTATGGACAAATCATCCACGCCCCTCCGTTTACAGCTGAGAAATCTGAGACTCAAAGAAATTTAAGTTCATAACAGAGAATTAGGCCTGGCAGTCCAGTGTCCAATACATGGTAGGATTAGCCCTCAATTAAAAAAAACTATATTGGGGGCTGGCCTGGTGGCATAGTGGTTAAGTTTGCGTGCTCCGCCTGGGCGTGGACCCACACACCTCTTATCAAGCCATGCTGTGTCAGGTGTCCCACATATAAAGTAGAGGAAGATGGGCATGGATGTTAGCCCAGGGCCAATTTTCCTCAGCAAAAAGAGAAGGATTGGCAACAGATGTTAGCTCAGGGCTAATCTTCCTCACCATAAATAAATAAATAAAACCCAAACAAAACTATATTGTTTATTTTTATATGCATCAGGAAAAAAGGACAGGCGGGTGGATTATTTGAGACCAAATTGCTTCCAGGTTCTTGCTCCTCACTGTGCCTTGGAGAGTGCCTGACATCTCAGAGGTGCCATTAACTTGGGGTCGTGTGGCCACTAAGGATTTGACAGGAAGCCTGGCAGAAGGTACAGAACTGCTGGCATTTCTGGTGGGGCTGGGGGCTGGGTCTGCATATTGGTAGAGCTGGACCCTCAGACATTTTGAGCCCCTACTACTGAACAGCAGAAAATGGTTTCTGTTATGGGTTAAATTGTATTCCACACCCCCCTTCCCCAAATATGTTGAAGTCCTAACCCTCAGTACGTCAGAATGTGACCTTATTTGGGAATAGGGTCTTTACAGAAGTAATCAAGTTAAAATGAGGTCTTAGGGG